CACAGGAGTTCCATCGATCCACGACCAGCTTCCTGGAGTGAGACGCGCCAGACCAATCCATAGCGAGGGCTCAGGACTGTCAGATTTGACGAGGTCCTTCACGAAGGCCGCCGAGCTGGGATGGATGGATGCAAGACAGCGCGCGACGGTCGACGGAAGAGCAGCGTGATGAGCGGCGATCCAGGTGGTATCTGACGAGTCACGTAGTAGCAGATGTCCTGGTGGCGTCTCCAGTCCGGTGGGCAATCCTCAGGAGCTGGCGGCTGGAGGGACGCCATCTGGTCCTGAAGTGACGCAAGCTGTGGCGATTTCCCGCTGTCCATTTTGGAGCTCCTGTTGGCCGCTTTTCAGCTCCAGCTGCTCGCTCTTGATTGCCTGTTGTCCATTTCGGATCTCCTGTTGGCCGTTTTCAGCTCCAGCTGCTCGCTCTTGATCACCTGTTGTCCATTTCGAGCTCTTGACTGCCATTTTTGAGCTCCTTCTGTACATTTTTAATCTCTGTTGTCCACTTTGAAGCACCTGTTGGCTGCTTTTTAGATCCTGATGGTCTTTCTGAAGCTCCTGTTGTCCACTTCTCACCAATCCTTTGACCTCTTGTTGTCCTTTCGTGATACCACTCACACTTTGGCTGTTTGTATCTCTGATCTCGTGTAAAACCAGCTCTTTCACTGCTGAAGTACAACTGTCAGTGATGTAGGACGCAAGGGGTACTGAACTGGACGAAGTTGTAGCCGCACAGATCAGCGTTACCAGCACCAGGAATATAGGAAGCTTCTTCAGCACACGGGAAGGCTGCATGATGCCGCTGCACTGTAGCCGATGTTACCAGATGAGCCGGCTGTGACCAACTGACGATCTTTGTGTCTGGTAGTCGGACATTTTAGTGTTTACCGTCGCACTCGACTGTTGTATATGGTTGTAAGTTGTAATTATCAGCACGCTAACGAAGGGGCCGTGTGGTTTATGTCAACTGACGTGCCGAGTTTACGGATGTTTTATTTGTGTTCTAGCTTTACGAGATCAAAGCCAGAGGCGAAAAATAGCGTCAGTTTAACTAAAAAAAAAATAGCGTCAGTCCGCGCCCCCTGGTTTTTCGCGAAAAACTCGCGTAAAAAGTGGCCGACCGCAACGAAACTTTCAGTACCCTCGCATTGATCAATTTTACACCTACCCTGAAAATCTCATGACCCTGACCCAAGTGACCTTTGACCTGTGACCTTTTTTCCGAGACCATGTTTGGCCGGAATCGCGATTCCGCGTATGTCAGCTCGCATTAGCCGCGCGTTTGCAAGCTTTTCGTGGTTTCAAACGTTCAAACATGTGATTTGTGGTTGCCCCCATAGCATTAGGGTGGGTGTCAAGGTCACCTGAAGGTCAGGTCAGGTCATTAACCTTTGGTGACCTCGGTTCACTTCTTCGAGTTTTACATGTTTCTAGGCTAGTTTTTGGAGCTGAATTCGAATTTAGCAACCATTTGAACATTAACGAAGTAGTTTTGGTGACTTCGTAACATGTTACGAAGCTGTCACAGGCGGTTGACACGTACTACGATTACCCGTCACGACGCCTACTGGTTGACCTGACCTGACCTGACCCGACCTGGTCTGAATGCTTAAAGACATCATCTGTGATCAAAACTAACACGATATTCGTGATCAGCACCCCGAAAAACTCCATAGCAGCCACACTTTAGGTACGACTTTCTAACAGCACCCCCCCCCCCTACACGTTAGAAGCTGGCAAACGCTGCTCACATGCGAGGGTTAAGGCGTTGTGTGGTTTTTGTCATGTAGAAGCCACGGGATTAGTTCTGGATGACAGGATAGGTTACGTTGCTTTTTATGTATGTATGTGGTACACTTTGCGCTAATCTAAAGAAGTGTTTGAAACTTGACAGTAGGTACCAAAATTATCCGACGGATTTCGGCCTTATGAGGGTGAACTCAATCAATAAACGAGTGAAATATGGGAATGGAGTGTCAACATATCCTCAAGTGTCGATTTACCATCTTTCCATTCTAGACAACTGCAGATAGGTCGTTACAGATCTATGGCTGTATTTCTCGCCTTTATAACACCATCTCAGCCATCAGAAAACCATTTCCGGTGGCATGTTAGCTCCTTGAAGTGGCGCGCTTCCGGCCATTTCTTGACCACCGGAAGTGGATGATTTCCGCCGCCAGAATTAGCAGCGACGCCGCCGCGCTGGTTAGCAGTAGCACAAACAGTGGGTAAACCTGGCTCACAGCGATGGCATCCCAGCTTCTTGCTCCTGGGTGGCACCTGTGGGACGAGACAAGAGACGGTCTGAAGGGTCGGTGTGACGGGAGTGGTACAGGCATAGAGCCTTGGTACAGGCCACTGTGACAGCTTGTGTCAAGGGGTAGGAACAATGGCAGATGGGTACGACGAGTTTGAAACAAATAACGATATAGGCAAGCTTTACAATACCTCTGATAAATAAACTTTTTCAATATTATCTTTACTAACTTTCATGTGATTCACCTATCAATCAACTGCGTAGTCGAGCTTATCTTCTTGTTCTTTGTCTTTCATTTTGATCTTTCTATCCCACTTCTCGTCCTTCATCTTCCCTCTCTCTCTCTCTCTCTCTCTCTCTCTCTCTCTCTCTCTCTCTCTCTCTCTCTCTCTCTCTCTCTCTCTCTCTCTCTCTCTCTCTCTCTCTCTCTCTCTCTCTCACTCTCACTCTCACTCTCACCTGTAGCTCTCGCTGAGTGTCTCCGGTAGCCAGTAGGCCCTCTCCCTGGCCAGCACTCCTCCTTCCCACAGCCTCAGCAGCTGTCGGTTCATGATGCCGTGCTCTGCGTCCAGTCCCTTCCTGAAGATGATGGCACGTTCCTCCGGCGGCACTCCTTTCAGTGGCACGAAGCACGAGGGACAACGATCCGCCTGCCACGGAGGTACGCGGACAGCAAGTTTGAAAGCCGTGGAGGTCATCAAGAACGCGAATTTAGGCTTAGCGATCAGGCGCTCGATTTCGCGATCGTGTATGCCGAGATGGTTCTCTAGTCGGCGATCAACTTCAGTGACGGAAAATCCAGTGAGTCGTGAAAGTGCAGTGGAGAAGTAGAAGCTCACTTGAGCTCCGATGGTAAACGAACTGTCACGAAAGAGTTCGGTCACGGAGGAGAAGGGCATTGCGGCACGGGTGGCAGTGAGATGCGAATACAAGCCGCTGTTGTAGAAGTTACAGACGAGGATGCCGGTAGCGAAGCCGGTGAGCAGGATGGCTCTAGAGACGGGACGTTGCAGGGTAAGCGCGCTTCCCTGCAATGAGAAGGTCCCGAAGAGGGTCAGAAGCCAAACGAACATCGGGATTTTCTCGGAGTTGTCCTCCTCGTGACAGTTGTGCTGTTTCTGAGAAAGAGCAGCTGAACTGTTTCGAATGTTCTTTCGAGGGATGACCTCTTTCTGAATCTGTTGACGGGTGTCAGTGTCAGAAATCCAGGCATTTAGACGTGTGGAGTCCCGTCGTCTTTTGAGGATTGTCGAGTTGGATTTCGCTGAAGTCGTTCCCTGTCGAGTTTTAGACTTACTTTCAACTGAGTTGATGCCTGGGTGAATTCTTACCCTGGAAGATGTTTGTAGCAATTGCTGCTTTGTCTTATTTATACGTCTCCTAGATCTTAGATCTCCTCTTAGAAAGACCCGTCGTAGCTTATTAGATAGCCAAATCTTTTTAGCCACCAGCCTCCTAGATCCGTTCTTTTCCACCTGTTCGCTTTCGCCCAGAAACGCTGACTGCTCTGGCACACTCCTGCTTTCCTCACCCAGGAGCCGACTGCGGTTATCCAGCAGCCACGCGGCTGTGGCCAGCAGCACAAGCAGCAGCACCACTCCGGCGTACGCAGACTCGTCAAACGGCCGCAGGAAAGCCGTGGTGTCCGTCTCGGCGTCGGGTGTTCTGATGCCGAATCCCACTGTCACGGTTACCGTTGGGAACGTGAAGTCAACCAGCGCGTGTCGAGCGTGACTCACGGTCCAGGATGATGGCGAGATGTCGAACATGCCGTCGCGGATGACGGAGAAGGTGCGGCCCCAGTGCGAGGAGCCGTTGACGCCTGGTACTGGGGTGAAGGACATGGAGAAGCCCAGGTGGTTCTGTATGTGGGAGAGAAGCATGCCTTGCAGACCTCCGGAGATTGTCCCGTTGGTTACCTAGGGGGGGGGAGAGAGAGAGAGAGAGAGAGAGAGAGAGAGAGAGAGAGAGAGAGAGAGAGAGAGAGAGAGAGAGAGAGAGAGAGAGAGAGAGGAGACTCAATAGTTATACACTATGTATGACATACCGTATTGAGTGTCCCATAAACAGCAAGTGCACATGGTCCAGCCCTGCAAGTTAACGTACCTGTTGCAAACTAATGCGATACGTCTGAATTGCACCGCACCAGCTGTTCATTACAGTATGTGATGCTGTCATCTATCAAATAGTCATGAGGTGGTAGTATGCTATGTTACTGTAAGGTCACCAACATGCTATGAGGGCCAAGAAAGGGTGTGATGACACGATATATGCGATATTAGAAGTACTTTTGCAACATATTTTACTAAGCTCGCAATGTAACATAGTGTTTTCAGATGTTGGGATAAATTGTATCGCTACCTTGCCTTATTTTATCTTGATTAATCATAGCACTATTGTTTGAAACAATCTACCAACTCTGATTTCCCTTTTAAAGCGCATGGCCGATGCGCAAAGAGGCCGCTTTCTCATGCGTAATGTGCATTTAAACATGCCTCAACACTTACATATTAATGCTCTCCGAAGTACCAGGCTGCACCTAAACGCTCACCAAGACGTCCTGAACCTTATGACACCCCGAAAATGCGGTGTAGTTGGGGGCAACATAGTCCAGATATGCAGTGTGATTGGGTTTGAACACTGCTCGTTCGAGTCACAGTTCGAGTGCAAGGTGACAGTGTGGCGCAGAACTGCATGCGAGACACATCTCTCAGCGAAGGCTTCAGTGGCTGAGCTGCTTAGTGGAGTGAAGTGATTGGCGACAGGTGCGCATGAAGTGGTAAGCTTGATGGGATTAAGGTCGTTGATGTATCGTACTCAGAGTCATTGGGTGCGAATGTTGTCAGATTTTGCTATCATTTCAAATAAGCGTGTTTGCATTAGAAGTGATCGGCTGGAATTTAGATATGAATTGTTTTTGATATTAAAAAACTAATTTATCCTGTTTTTTTTCGACATGTGGACTTGTGAAACGTGAAAATTGAAACGTGCATACTCTGTGCATATAAAAACTAATTGGCATGTGAATTAGAAAAACGTTAACATACCCTCGGCCCTCCACACGAATGAAACTTGATAAAATAAAAGGTGTATTGTATAAAATTAGGGCCGATGCAGCAGAGCGCGTTTTTTCTTCTTTTTTTTTTAGCTGGGTATTTCTGGATCTACGTTTGCTCGTTTTGACACATTTTAACCATCGCTTCGTTTCTCTCCAGAATCCACTTTCTCCGACCGGTCTTTACGGACTTCAGCTGTCATCAACCTGCTGCAGTCAAGATGGCCGCAGTAATGATATGTGCCGTGCCCATTTTCTTCGTCGGATTGTCGGCAATCTTCCTAGATCCCGACGTCATTGTCAACAACGAAATTGTTGAAAGTCTGTCGGGATTTCCTGACACTCGAGGCTTACATTCACCTTTTGGAAGCTATTCAGGAGGACCCGACGGTCTCTCTTCAAAAACGCTGACCGCTGACAGAATACTCAAAGAAGTGTTGCAGCGTTTTAATGACCATTCAGAAACCTTCCTTCGGCATCAAGCACTGGTGGACGAGTTTATCTTTGAGGCTACCTCTCACCTCCCTAGTCTGTCTCCATTGTTCGCGAACGTGACAACCCACCATGATGGCAGCGCTTTTGAGGGCACCCGCGTCGTGGAGTTCGCCGATTTCGACACATACATCATGCTAAGCAGGGACGCGGTGCTGCGTTACTTCGAGCTGCGTCGTGGCGAAGAGGGACGCATCTCTGCGCGACTTCGACCGGGTATCAATCGTGAAGACTTGCCGGCAGATCTGGAGCGTATGGTGAGGGAGGATAACTATCTGGACGCACGTCGCCTCAAGAGGTGGGTGTTCGAACGTCTCGAGATGGTCTTGAGACTCACCGCCAAGGCACACCCGCAGCTGAGGGCTGCTGTGTACTCGACCAAAGGAGCAGCTGGGGTGGATCTGATCGCCCCTGACGGTGCCCGTCTCGAGGTCGACCTCGCTGCCCAGCTAGATCCTCCTTCCATGGACGGCATGGTTCGTCCAGAGTCGACGAGACCGTGTGGCCTGGAGTTGGTTTCTACTGGTCATCCGATCCCGTGGAGTATTTACAGCAAGCAAACTCTGATTGCGCCGCCACATCCGACTTCTTCTGGTACGACTTATTGGAGACTTGTGTCATCACCCACTACGTCCACACCTGTTTGGAATGTCACTAGAGATAGTGAAGTTCGTGGTACTGATACCATCCCAGGCGACGACGAAACTAGTCACTGGTTCGTCATCAACTCGATGCAACTTGAACGTGCCTTCCTGAGCAAGCAACCGCAGGTGCGCAACGTCATCCGCATCCTAAAGTTGATCAGCATGTCACGCAGCTGGAAGCAGCGTTTTGGAGTGGACTCATTCGTTCTCAAGCACGTCGCCTTCTGGTCTTTCGCCGAAGACTGCGAATCGTCAGCGTGGAGCAATGTTGACGAACTTGCTTCGGCGGTTGTCTCTTCTTTGCGTACCTTCGAGAACGCGTTGCGGCGTGGCCGGATGGATAAGTTCTTCTCTAGTCCTCCAGCTGACAGTGTGTTCTTGTCGCTTATTGGAGGACAAGCTACCCTGCGACACCTTGCCGATGAGGTGCATGACGTTGGTGACGTTCTTTTGGGGAATGATCAGGATGCAATTAGAAGTCTGCTTCGCATCCTGTAGGCGAAATTTAGCTATATGTTTGGTGAATGGTAATAATCTTTTAATACCGCTCTGAGCAATCGGTGATATTATAGAATGAACCTGGATAGTGTCATTTGCTCACGCAGCATTCATTAACTAAATATAGCTGATCGTATGGTTTCTATGCGCTTTGGAAAGGTTGAACAAGAATACCTATTCCAGGCACCGGGCATAATGCTTACACAATTGTAGGCATTACATAATGCATGCTCGTCCAAGGCATAGGTAGCCCTGTTCCTGTGATGCTATGAAATGAAAATAAAATTGCAATGGTGTGGTATGCGTAATGCGTATGTTCTTCGTTGTTCATTAGTCTCGTCAGGAGACAGGAACCAACCACTTGTTCCACCTGAATCCAATGCGTTGTCCCACCTGAATCCTCCGCCCGTTGTCTCGTCCCATGCCTTTCCCGTCATCTTACTGTTATCTCGCGCCGACTCCTTCGTCGCCTCACTGTTGTCCCGTTGTGTCTTACTTGAATCTCCCATTGTCTCACCTAAATCCCGTCCACTGTCTCATCTGAGTCCAGTGGATGGTCTCACCTGAATCCCGGCGAATGGCGTAGCCGACACAAAGCTCTCCGGTGCTCGACTGTGAATGCCCGGGTAGTCTTCCGCCACTACGCATATGGCGACTGAGAATGAGCGACCTCGTAGCGCCCCACTCCACTCAGTGACAGGTCGGGTCAGGTCACCGGTGGCCCGAAACTGGCCGGTGACGGGGTCACACTGGCCTAGGGGGACACGTTCCAGGCGTTGGTGGAGTGCACTCCAGCGAATACGGCTGAAGATGAGATCGCTGGAGCCTAGAGGCTCGGCAAGAGTGAGGGTGGTATCAACGACTGGGTTGGGAAATAGGCTAGACAAGTTAAAAGCATGATTTGAGGTAGTTGTAGGTACAATTTCAGAGATCTGAAGATCAGAATCGCCAAACTTAGGAAGTATTTGCTGAGAAGTTTGGAGATCTGGATTGAATTGTCCAAAGTCGGGTCGTTTTGACCAAATCCCTTCAGGAAACCTTTGTTTGGTAACGCGAAGCCAATGTGTTCCGGGAGCAGGGTTCGTTGGCTGGTCTGAAGACATCCAGATGACCCCCGACTGTCCCCTGTCGGATCTTAGTGACCGATGGGGGTTAACCGGGTCCACGGGTGTCGAGATCAGACGGCTGTAGATACCAGTGCGGACCAATGAGGTCCAGAGGTTATGTACCTCGTCTGAAATCCAAACAACACTCGGTTACTTTTACAGCTTAAAAGCCTGTCACCCGTGAGCAGATGACCTAGAGTGTTCTGCACTAGGAAGCCTGGCGCCTGGAACTACGCATGTGGAGTTCAATCAACTCTTTGTTAAATATACGTTCCACATTTGGACAAGGGAAACCGATAAATGGTATAATTTTGCACTATGCATATGCACTCTGCAGCGATGAAAAGTCATTAAAACCCGGACTAATTAGATAAAAATACTTGTTAGAAATAACGCATATTTGTTTTGAGCGCGTCACATACCACCTTCCGGGGTCGAACATGTCAGGGACTCAGGGTAATTTGATACTCAAGCTAATCCTTGTTCTAAGCCGTCCGCCTAAGCTGAAGGAAACTATTCAAGAAGAAATTACACATCACAATTCACAGCAGATACATTCATGATCGAAAAGTAGGTACATCTATAGTTTAAACGATTTTGCCCTTCTCTCGTCCTATCACACCATAGCTCTCATTTCGCTGCACAGCCAACTATTTTAGAACGTTTCCATGTTCAAATGATGATAGCTAAATAGATGACCCATGTCCTCACCTTTATCGCCCACAACGTCGGCTGAGGACCAGCCATCCTTGCGGACGAAATCCGCCAGGCACAGCGCCTGGGGATCGGTCAGCAGTTGCTTCGGCAGCCCAACCGCCCTCGTCACCGTCATCACCCACATCAGCATCAACGTCAGCACCATCAACGGCGGTTGTCTAAGTGATGTCATCAGTAATGCTGTCTGGGGATGGATTAGGACTTTCGAGCCCCTGCGTCGTGTTTAGGTTGTGTGAGGATGAGGTTGGTGGGATGAACTTGCCAAATATTTAGGTATCCTGGAGGACTAGACAGTAGACAGGCACTCCTGAGTGTCACTTTACACTGTGTGCTTTACATTCATGATCGCAGCTGTGCTTAGTGTATTTTCTATGACGACCTCCAAAGAGCTTTTTCGAGGGCTTGAGCAATAAGACGTCTTCAAGTACCTCATTTACCTAACAAGGCAGCTCAAACTTCTACTTCTTGTTCCTCTTCACTTTTGGTATCCAGCTCTCTTCGATCTTGCCGTTCCTTGTTCCTCGATCACCGCTCAGTGTTACCCCGCAGCGATCTTAACTATTCTGCGACCCTGAGTGACATATTTGAGTGAGCTGAGCACATATTTCTTCATGCGAGCCCCGCTAGTGTCAGCCACGATAACCGACTGGAAGGCCACCAGCCCAGCAACTGTGGGTTCTCGAAGTCCCCGGTCGAAGCCCGCGGTCGAGGAGCCAGCACTGGGGGCGGCCAACACCGACTGGCGGACGCCGACTAGCGAATAAAGGCGGCTTCATGGCTCGCCAGCGGGGCGTGCGGGAGGGGAGGGTCAGCGATCAATTACTCAATTGGCCATGTGTAGCGTCGACATTGTTAGTCGTTGGACATCTTCAAACTAATGACCGTCCACGCAGAATTAAGAATTAAGAAAAATCCAGCATTCAACAAAACAGGTTTCCCAAATGGTTATTTGTATGCTGTTCTGTGCTTACAACTGACAAACATTTACCATTGACCAGTGGATACGAACCCACTGGCCACGGACTGGCGAGTTGGTGGAGAGACGCGATCAGTTGCAGGTACGTACACCGCATTAGTTACGATCCCCATGCTCCTATTGTTGTGCGAAACATACTCAAATGCCAATGCGATGATGCCGTCGATGTGATGACACGCGCTTACAAATATTGTGCGCCTATCGTAAGTGCGGCTAGTGGCCACTGAAAAGGTATTTCATGTAAAGAGCTGGTTTGGTATGGAACCGACTGCCCAAAGAAGCTTTAGACATGTCCACTGTCCAGCATGTTGGTTTTTAAGCGGGCGACTAGGGAGCCACGAAATGTACCTAATAGCGCGGATGGTGGTGTCTTTGTCTTGTAGGAAATTGAATGCTGTTTTGACAAAGTACTTGCAAGCAATGACTTCCGAGCCAATACCTAATCATGTGCCGTCTTGAAAGCTATTGCTTGCGAAGCACGTACCTACCACAAAATAAAATGAAAAATAAGGAAAAGTGTACCTACACGCGGCTCGCTCATTAAAGATGATCGGATATTTATGCCGATATTTTACAAATAAAAAATGTTACTTGTTTGACTTCATACGAAGTTTGAATTAGGTAATGAGCTTGCCCATTGCTGGTCACAAAAGAGATGGTAGCTCGCAGCTTCACTTATGAATATGCGTTCTCTTGACTTGTTTTGTAATGTGTTCTTTGATATTTATGTGGTCATTTGTCATGTGTTGCTCGTCTTTGCGTGGAAGACTGGATTCTTATTTGGCCTCATTGAACTGGCGCTAATCAGAGACAGTCACTCACTAAATACCCACCTCACTACCCCCTACTACGAATTGACCTGACTCGCCATTGCCTGCCCTTACCCACTGCTGTGAGGTGACACGGACAGTCGGAAGTCCTCGGACGACGATGACGTAGCCATTTGATCGATGTCACTCGTGCTGTCAGATGTTGTCACCTCCGCTGACAGCCAAGGTGACAAGTGGCAATGTGGCAGCCATCAAAATTAATTAGAGTCTGATCAATGGCGGGTTGTTTGGCTTGTATGTGCTAATGAATTGCAAAATTTTGCACCATTTGCGGCTGACGTTGACTGATGGGTCACGTGGGAAAATGGAAAAGACAGAACTTTCTAAGATTCGTATAATAACAGGGTTTGTAACCATCAAATATACACCGTATTTATGCTGAAGCGTGTTTATAATGCCAAATACAGCTGTTTGTCGAGAAAGGGAGAAGAGAAAAAGGTCAACGCAAATGGTACCATCCGACGGAATTCAAAATAGAAAAATCCCGGTTCGGCAAAATGCATAATAATGGATTGTGTCAAAACATCTCGCTATGCTACTCTTACAGGACAACACATCGCATTTAAATTCAGTATGTAGTTTATCGCAGTCAAATAACTTTATGGTTAACAAATAACACCTAACTAACATCAATTCTGTTTTAGTTCTGTTTTATATCGTAAGGTTTTTCTCATGATTGGGTCGCGCATGGACGTTCGTGTTACCTGAAATAAATTATACTCTGTGAACGGATGGTGGCAATCCTGACGCGTGAGAAGCGCCTGTTGCGGCCATGTCACGCGATATTCCGTCATGCAGCAGATAAAATGATAGATTGGTAGATGACACTTGTCAGACACAGCCGACACAGCTGGCCTCCGGAATTAACCATGACTGGTGATAAATTTACTTACTGCACGTTTTCGTGTAAATATCGTCCACTAATTTGGAGGCTGTCATTTCTGGGGGAAACGTTTCACGAGTCTAGTTAATTCGCCAGGATTCGATTATCATCTATGTAGGTACATACATCATTATAAGCAGAATTAAGATTGGTTCGAATTGAAAACATGTGACAGCCAAAAAATGTATAAATAAATAAATAATAAATAAATATAATTACAATATTTTATGTAAACAGAAACTTTGATGTGTGACATATGTTTCGTTCGTGTGATACGATCAATATTTATGTATGTACTAAATTTCATAATGTTTTGGTACATCTTATCATACGTATTTTCCGCACATGTTAAAAAAATCAGGCCCAGATCTTTCGAGGTCAGGTCACCGGGTCACGTCAAGTGACCTCATCTCAGAAAAGCTTCAATGCTTGCCACAGCTACACCAAGGGACGGAAGGTTTATTGTGCGACCTCTCCGTTATAAGTCAATGGGAGAATATTGAAATGCACCTCTTAGACGAACGCCAAACAAAGCACTCTCAAACACCTGTTTACAGCAAGCATACAGTAGGTATAATGGTTGCACTCGTGGCTTCTTTTTATGCCCCTGAAGGGCCTGAGACCATATCAGATCGCAAAAGGTTTCAAACGGTTTTTCGATAATAACTTGATGAAAGCATGCTAGAAAGATGAAATCACCTTAGATGTGCTCAGCTCGACAATGCGAATCGACTGATATGCAATACGAACTTTTCCTGTCAGGTCACGACCTTAACCTAAAGCCTAATTTT